TAAATAAATAAATAAATAAATAAATAAATAAATAAATAAATAAATAAGCAAGCAAGCAAGCATTTATTATCAAAACGTGGCCAGCAACATGGCTCCACAGGTAAGGGCACTTGTTACCAGGCCTGCCCACATGAATTCAACAATTAGATCCACAGGGTGGAGAGAAATGAGCTCCCTCAAGCCATGCTGGTTCTCACATATGTGCTTTGGCGCACCATTCTCCTCCTAACAAATAAAGGGAAATACTTTTGAATTTTTGTCAAAACATTAAAATTTCTGTTAGTAACAGGGTTATTAACAAATTTGAAAACTGTGAAACTAATATTAATTTAGCACACTGTAGGGTAATTTAGAAATGAGAGATGGCTCAGTGGTTGAGAGCACTGGCTGCTCTTCCCGGGCTCACGTCTTTGTACCACACAGCAGCTCACAACTGTCTGTAACTCCAGTGTGAAGGGATCTGACACCTTCTTCTGGCCTCCATGGGCACGGCATGCATGTAGCACACATAAATGTATGCAGGTATATGCTCGTGCACATAAAGTAAATATTTAAAATACTAGATATACTAAGAAAATGTTACTTATTTTATTCATATCACATTTTATAACAAGAATGGAAAAGTTGTTTCATTGGACATAATACAGTGCATGTTCTACATTTTAAATTATAGAGGCTTTAACAGTTTAATATTTTTCTTTTTTAGAATATTCCTCCTTTTTCTCTCTATCAACATGAACTTTAGAATCCATTTGGCTAGTTAAAGAAAAAGAAATGCTGATCTTTGTCATGAACTAAATTATGTCCCTCCCATCCTCTAACTTGCATGTAATGTATTTTAAAGTCCTAACCTCCAGCAATTCAGGATGATTATATTTGGAAGCAGGCCCTTATATGTAATCAAGGTAAAATGAAGTCACAAGTGATACTCTTTCTCTGTGTCCTCTTAGGAGGAGAGGACAGAGCTGGAAGGCGTCCATCCACAAGCCACTCTCGGTGTTGGACTTCCAGCTCCCAGAACCCTGAGAAGCGGATGTCTTACGTCACAGCTTCTGTTACATCAGCTCTAGCACATTAACACTTTTTAAATGACACATCAATCACCTCTTCTCACGAAGAACTGAATGCTCCTTGACCCTGAGCCTCCCGTGCACAAAACATGAACTTCCTTACATTTGCTCATAAATAAAATTAGTCTGTATAATGTCTGTTTTGAGAAACAATTTTGTTTAAAACAGTTTGTATGTGTATAGGTGCACAATCATGGTATTACATGTGTGGTGCATGTAAATATTTGTGTGGGTATACGCAGTAACTATGCCTGAGCATTGCAGACAGGGCACTGACACCATTTGTCTTCTTTGTTCATTCTTCATCTTAAAACTTAAAAAAAAAAAAGTTAGGTGGCACACACCTGTAACCCCAGCCAAGGAGGCAGAGGCAGGTAGATCTCTGTGAGTTTGCGACCAGCCTGTGCTACATAGTAAGTTCCAGGACAGCCAGGGCTACATAGAGAGAGCCTGCTTCAAAAACAAACAAAAAAATAATGTGTGGAGGTGGGGCGGTGGAGAGGGTGAAGGTCAGAGGACAACTTTGTGGAGCTTAGTGATACAGCTAGGCTGGCTGGCCAATGAGCTTCAGGGATCTGTCTGTTTCCCTCAGTGATAGGGTCTCAGATATATGTTACCATGCTGACTCCCCTTCCCCCATTTTTGGCACAGAGTCTCACTGTGTAGTACTGGCTGGCTTGGAACTTGCTTTGTAGACCAGGCTAGTCTTGAACTCACAGAGATCTGCCTGCTTCTGGGCCTGTGCCACCACACCCAGCTTGACAGCACTTTAAATGTGGAACTTTTAGGTTTCCAGCCTTTTGGTTTCACTAAGAAATGCAGCTGTTGTTTGATCTAACTTGTAAATCTCTGAGGTTTCCAAAAGGTGTAGAGGGTGGGGGATAGGGGAGGGAAATATCACAGTGAGGCTTCTAATATTGCTAATAATCCCCAAGTCAACTTTGGGAGTTTAGTTTTTAAACAAGAACATTAATTTCAGAAATCAAGCTTACTGTAAATTTAGAAACCACTGAAGCATAGTCCCTGGAAACTTAAGACAGCCACAAAGGCCATTTTGTTTCACTTAAAGTAATGTTAGTAGAATTTGCTTTGTGGTTCTTGTACAACTGAATAAAACTGTTCATATCTTCTCTCTAATCTAGTGAAAAATAATTCCTATCCCCTACTGTAAGACAGTTTATAGTTATGAATTAAACATTACCATTCTGCCTCCTAGTTGCTAAGACTGGCTTCTAGTGGACTTTATAGAACACAGACACTGGCTGAGGGAAGCGAGGAACTTATAGCCCAGCACAATGCCGTGTGCTATGAAGAGCACCTTCCAATCTGACAGTAGTGAGCTCACTACGAAAAACAGATCAGTGGAAGACACACTTTCAAAATAATGAATTTTAAAAACAAGCCTAGGCTAGCCAAAGCCACTGACCCTACGTGTACACCAAACAACTTTCTAAAGGTACGGCACTTCACTGTAGGCACAGCCCAGAATCTGATGCCCAGGGTTAGCAGCCCAGCCCATGATGGCTGCTGCATGTTCCAGCATGGCAGCCAGGCCCCGTGCTCCAGCACCTCTTTCCTGACACACCCAAGTGTGTCTTCACCTTGTCACCCACGACCACAGGTGCTTCCTTCTGTCTTTCCATGGAAACCCTGGGTCACAGCCATTGGAGGCAACCATGTCTTGTGAAGTAAATTTCTGTCTTAGTTTCTAGAGAAAGTTTTACAGGTACTGCTGTGCCTCTTCCTCTCCGTAAATAGGTAGGCTTTGTAGCAAGGGTCCAACAGTGTGGCAAAGCCTTGCCTTGGCTCACGAAAAGTGGTGAACAGACAGCTAGTCACAGCTTCCTTTAGCAACTTCAGCTAAATATTGATATCTACCACTCACTCCTCTCCAAAGAGAATCTCAACTTTCCAAGTGAGAGATCATGGAAACAATCTAGCTTGACATAGACACACAGGTACTCACCTCCCAGTTTGTAAAACAGACTACATGGCCGCCTGCTGGTCACCAGTTCCTTCCACTAACATCTAACTGCTTTCATTTCTGACTTAGAGGTTCAGGCCTGATGACATGAGCTGGAGCAGTTGCTTCTTCTGCTGTAGTTCTACTGGTCTCTTTGTACTTTGAATCCCTAGTGGATCTGGTGGCATAGCTTCCACACACTCTTCAGGAAGTTCTGCACTACCTGGCTTGTGATGGTCTTCTTCAGTCAGGTGCTTCCTGTAACTGAAGCCCTTACTCCATGCTTGAGTGCTGCCCTCACTCCCCATCCCCCCTCTATTCAGATGGTCAGCGACCATGAGGACAATCTGGACACTGATGGAGTCACCGAGGCTTCCCAACATTCTAATTGCCTCTGAATGCTGTCACTGCTACAGTCACAGTCAATCTATGACACATCTCAAAATACTTAACTCTGATGATGGCACATGCAATGAGGTAAGGCCATGAGTATAAAGGTGACCCAGTGAGCTGTAAGGGTCAGGTACCAACAGGTCTGGCTATTTTTCCATATTCCACCGACCACACTACAGCCAAATTCCTTCATAATTATTGGTTCCACAACACCATACCTATCTCATACCTGGAATAGCTGTGCCACAAATAAAAATCAAGAACTCAAGCAGCCTAGAAAAGCCAACACTGCCTACAAAGAGTATGAACTGAAAGGAAAGGGCCATCATTTCAGTTGTGAAGCTTATGAGGTAAAAACTATAAAATTCTTCAGTGGTGGCGGGGGGGGGGGGATCACTGAGGGAAAAAGCTCTTCCTGGCGGTATATTCTATGATGCTGGTTTTCGGCATGTGGCTGAGGAACTAAGGATGTCTCAGGTAGCTCCTGTCAAGGCGTGTGATTCTCTTGCCCATATGACAGTCTGCTCACAGTGCAAGCACACCATGCTGGTAGAGTTTGCAGGCAAACAAACAGAAAGGAGCTTTAAAGTCTTCTTGCTATTAACAGGAAATATAATCTGATTTTTTTCCTGACCGTCATTGGCAAGTCAAGTAATTTGGTAGAGGAACTTCCCAAAGTGACAAGTGCTAAGTTTGCCACACTTAAAACTAGATTGCTCCGGCAGGAACTGGTGTCTGTTCACTAACTGTATCAAACAGCTGGTACTACATGTCTCTTACTCCCCCTCTGGTAGCATATTATAGTGCTAACACATTTGTGGGAGCCCGGGAAAGTGCTGTCAGACTTCTGAGCTCAGCCTTTCTCATGACCAACCATGCTGGATCACAATTCAAGCCTTCTGGTGTTCACCCCACCAGTCCATTGCTGCTCAGGTAAGCACTACCTAGGCCTCATGAGACTCCTAAGAAGCCAACAAGGCATGTCTTCTGGGTCCATCCCTAGGATTCACATACAGTGGCAGGTTCTCAGGAAGCCTGTCCTCAGGTAGAAGGCAGAAGAACTCTCTGAAGTTTTCCTAGATCCAGCAAGGCAGAAATCCACACATCCTTCATGCACCTCCCTCTACTGACTGTTTATATTGGTAAAAACAGTTGATCCTGGAACCGTCGAGAGGTAACAGGTAGAAGTGCTTTAAGTGGCCAATCTATTCCTGGCTCTTAGAACCAAGAGGAAGATTTTTTTCCAAAATGGCCACAGACTTCTCCATTATTGGTCAAGGGATAGATCTTGGGAGTATTTTCTGGAGCCCGAGGGTTAACAGGTGTGGTGCTGTGATCCTCACACATAGAGTCTGCAGTGGAGGGGAGAGGAGGGCTCTGCTGACATTCTTTCACTTCTTAACTAAGCTGACAGATGCCTCCACTTTGTGTGTATGATGAGACATGGACACATTCTGTTCATGCTCACACGATCGCTTCCATGCAGCAGGTACATGCTCCGTTGGTGCTCTCTAGGAAATGCCTCCAGCTCTGAAGCACTCCTCCTGGTGTTCTGTGCTGGTGGGTAGGAGGCACTGGGTAATGGCTTCCATAGCTGTACAGTGTGCTCCTATACTAAGAGAACAGCACCCCACAGTCACCCTTGTGAGCAGCCTGGTGTTTTCCAAGCTTGCAAAGGCCTACCTGTCTCACATCCTTAGGCACATTTTTAATGTTCTTTCTTTTCTAAACTCAACTAGGAATATGAAAGTGTCCTGATTATCCACCAGTGACCTGACTTCCTGACTATCAACTGTTTCTTGGCTGCTTCATCATTAACATCTTAGGCTAGAGTTTGTGCACCCAAACACTTTAAAACAGTTCCATCTTTTAGGCTGTTTCTATGACTACAGTTAACCCTGAGTACCACAGGGAAGACAGTACTGCTCATGTGAGCACACTGAGCATGGTTCTCCCCAGTTCTACTCAACACTCTGCAGCTTGGAAACATGTTCAGTGCAGGCTTCTGGTCTTACAGACTAGACTCCAGCCATCTTGACAGCAGGAGCATCCTCTTTCATTTCTCTCTCCAAACTTCCAGAGTTCTGCCTACCAGCTCCCCATACTTCTCAAACTCTATACCCACCAATGACGTGAGTTGTGCCTTTCAAATTGTACTTGTAGTTTTTTTTTTTTCACAGTATTTCTGAAATTCTCATGATATCTTAATTGCATAAAATGGCTTAAAATTGTTCAATGCTGATTATAAATTATTTGCATATTGCTTGTGGCAATATTTAAAGTTCATTTTCCAAAAAGATTATTTTGAGGTTAATTCCACCTACTAAGTGCTCAAAGCAAGCTAATTTTGATACTAGCCTAAGTAAATAAAATCGGGGAATTATATCCATTGTAAAAGGCTATGCAAGTAAAATTCAGTGCATAAGTAAGTGCTTTTTAAATACAGTGTCCTGAGTACCGAATACAGACAGGCTTCATGCAGACATCTAGTACTCACCTTGCTGTCCATCAGGCATGGTCACAATGATGGGCTGACCCATCCCACTGGTTGGAATAGAGTGCAAGTTTCCCAGCTGGATCCCATCTGTAACTATGGTGATGACTTGCTGACCCCCTGAGCTAACTACTTGCTGGATTGCACCGTCCACAGATTCTGCGGTAACCACTTCCTCTGTGGCCACTACTAGAGGGGGAGAAAAAGGAAAGAATTGTTTTTGCTTTGTGCCATTCAGATAGGACAAGTTTTACATGGTTTTTAAATGTCATCATCAAGTGATGTAGACTCTGTAAGTAGCTGATTGCAAGTCACACAATTTGTAACTGAGTTCCAGCCATCTCTTTATGACTGTATATAATCATTCTTCTTCACTTCTTTGTATCTTCTTTATATGAAGAACAATTTAAGATCACAGAAGGTAGTAACAAGATAGTAATAAATTAAGTTATATCTACTTAATAAAATTTCATAATTCAAATGAGAACTTTATAATTATAATATAGACACATTAACATATCAAGGAGTATGGAGAACAAACAGGAATCCCTTCTGGACTGGGTGAGCAAGGTCACTTTAATGAGCAGCAAATAGAGTTGGCACTACATGGCAAAGTATAATTCAACTTTTGCATAAACCAAGCCCCAAACTATGCTCTCAAATAATTTCTAAGAGATGCATAGAGAGTTCTGACAGGCAAAAACTCTGCCTTTGGCCCTGCCTAAGTAAAAAAAGAAAAAAAAATCATAAGTTAATATTGCCAAAAATCCTTTCTCACAGGCAATCCTACACCAATCCCCCAAAATAATGTGTGCATAAAAACATGCTCATTAACATTCCTAACAGCTTTATGTGGCTACTAAACAGGAAAACTAAAAATAACCTAATACCCAGAAGTAGTAAATAAACTGTGGTCATCTTACAATGGAATACAACTAGGTCACTAAAATGACTGTGACACACAGATGAGAGTAACAGGGACAGCTGTAACAACGGACACCACACGTACTGTCTGCCTTCCACTTAGGAACTCAACAATGATTAGACTGCAGTGAACTTTTCAAAACTCTGTAAGAACACATCTAAAAGGAATAAAAGTTGGGGAAAGTTTTTGGCAGAAGAGTGACAACAAATTAACACAGAAGGTGGATTCAGAAATCGTTATTGTGTTAGCTGACTCAAGCATGCATAACTAGCAGGTGCCAAGCACTCTGGTGAAATGTTTTTGTAATCAGGATATTGAAATGTTCCCAAAGTATCACACCAAAGATTACTAACAATGAAGTTAGAGATGTATCTGTCAACAGCTAGTTTTCAAGGCATATCTGACAAAAGGCCTGGCTTCAAACTTGCAACAGTGTTATTTGGTCAAAGGGTCACAAAACAAACCCAGAATACCCAAAATGCAAACAAACCTTTGAGTATTCTCATTATTTTGTTTGCTCTAAGCAGTAAGTATCTGAGCACATGAGACAATTTCAGGAAAATAGTAACAAAACAAAATAGAGAGCACAAAATAGCAATATATTCAATAGAGTAACTATTAAAGCTTTCAATGCACTATTACTTTGATTTGTTTTAATCTCCATATGAAAAAGAAATGCTCACTGGATGAATACCAACTACAAGTATTACTATTTAAAAGCTTCAGCATATGTAGGAAACTTATGAGATCATACACAGTCAAGGCTCAACTCAAGAACTTTCATCTTTGAACTATTAGCAGTGACTGCCATTAAAATAATAGTTCCTTCCTTTCATCTAAAAAGCTCTTTTAAGTTGTATAATGGTAAAGTACTTATGAAAAAATTAAAAGAAAAACAATTATAGAAGACAAAAGTATGTATCCCAAGCCTAAAGAACAATGGAATAACCAAATGTTGAAATATGTAAGAAAAAAAGCAACCTTAAAACTTAAGACTGTAGATATAAAAGTGTGTGCATGTGTATACGAATTGGCTTAATAAAAAGAAACTGTGATGTCATAAATATTCATTGATCTAATATAAAAGTCAGGCTGTAAAAAGGGAAGCCAGACAATAGCAGTGCCTTTGAGGTTGAATTTCCATGCCATACGCTTATTAAGGTCGGTAAGAAAATGTTTCTTGAGAAGTACTAAGACTTTTATGTGGAAATATTTACAAGAAACAGAAAATACATTACAGAAAAACATAACATGTTGAAGGTAGAATCCTATCATCTAACCTGAATGTAAGAACAAAGAGAAGCAAAACCAACAGAACTCATATCACCTAGTAACTCACCCCGTCAGATTAAATAAGTCTCCTTACCATATTCTGGAACAGACCAAAACAAAATGTTTCCTGGTGCAAACCTCACTTTGGGAAAGAGGATTTTCAATCACCACTAGACACTTCCTATCTTTCAAATACATCTAGCAATTACAAAAAGAAGGGAAATCATAGATTTCTCTTTAATCGAGGTATTATATAATTGGAGAATACACAGAGAACACAACGAGGCGCTAGGGCTACAGGCTAGAGCTACAAAATGAAAGCTCTATGAAAAACTACTGGTGTGACGTGTGCAGGCACGCCCATGTCTGCAGACCAAGGAAGAGACCAGGGCAGGTTGTCAGGTGTCTTCCTCTACAGCTGTCCACCTTCTTGGCTTAAAACAGGGTCTCTCACTGAACCGAAGTTCACCTTTTTGGCTAGGGTGTCTGGCAAGCTAGCTCTTGGCATCTACCTTTCTCTGCCCTCCCAATGCTGGGATGACAGGGATATGCAGCCATACCTGGCTTTTCATCTGGGTGCACAAGTTTCAAACTCAAGAAGTCTTCATGTTTGCAGAGCAAGAGCTCTTCCTCAAGGAGGAAGCCCATGAAAAGCTATTTTTACATCAAACCCTCCACCTCAAAAAACTGAGCATATGCCAACTGAGTCGTGAGAATGTATTTCTTTAACTGGTATGCATCTCAGTGACATACACCTAAATTTTGGTTCCATTCACATTCTTATTATCTCTCTACAGACAACTTTTGCAAAACTTCATTATGATATAGCATTGAAATTAAGTATACAAATTTAAACCACCAGAGTAATAAAGTTTTCTGTTCCCCCCCTCTTTTTTTCATTGGTGATGGAAATCAAATCCAGTGCCTGAAGCATAGTGAACACACATTCTCCCACTTAAAAAATGCTGAATAGCCCCGAAACCAGCTTTGTTTGGTGGCTTCTGCAAATCTAAGTACAAGCTATAAACGCAGCATGTTGACACGATGATGCCTGTAGCTGTCAGTGGCCAGAAGTAATTCAGAAAAATCTTAAGACCTGCCAAGAGGCAGAACACATATATGCTTATCACCACTAATTAGTCAAAGAAAAGGGGAAAGAGTAAGAGTAAGATTATTGTCTCTTAAGTGAAAAGAAATCCACTTATGTCCACCTTAGAGCTTTTCGGAGGAGACTCGGCAATACCGTAAGTAAAACCTGTATCACAGCACCTCACCCACAGAATGTCAATCAGTGAACTATTATTATTAAAGTTCGAAGAAAACGAATTAAAGGTATTCTTTAATCTTGTAAGCACTGATCCAAATATGACCATTTAAACTACAGTTAGAATAACATTTCTTAAGGTTTGGCGGGGGTGGGTGGGTGCATGTCCTTTTTCTTTTCTTTTTTTTTTTTTAAGAAACAGAATCACTATGGAACTTAGGCTGGCTTTGACTAGCCATCCTGCCTCAGCTCTTGAGTAGCTGAGATTATAGGCAGGTGCTGTGGTACCTGACCACTTCAAGACTCCCTAAAATTTCCAAATTAAAGAAAATCTTTTTTTCTTTTCTTTTCTTTCTCTCTTTTTTTTCCTGACTTTTTGAGACAGACTTTCTCTGTGTAGCCTTGGCTGTCCTGGACTCACTTTGTAGACCAGGCTGGCCTCAAACTCACAGAGATTCACTTGCCTTTGCCTCCCTGGGTGTTGGAATTACAGGCATGAGCCACTGCACCTGGCTTAAAAATTCATATATTTGCACAGTAACTATAGTAAAAGACAATTTATATAAGAAAACCATATTGGAACCAACTATCTGTCAATACTGCTTATCATCATCTAAACTCTGTTAACCCCACCTTTGAGACAGGGTCTCACTATGTAGCTCTGGATAGAACTCAAAGAGATCCCCCTGCCTCTGCCTCCTGAGTGCTCAAATTAAAGCTATACACCACCACCTAGAGCACAGAGGGCACAGCTATCCCTTTTAATAGTGGTTTTGTAAACTGTTTCTGTCTTTAAGAGTTTTCTAACTAATGTAAGACTGACAAAATTAAATTTATGAAAATGCAAATTCATATACATTTAAATATTCTATTTTTTTAAAAGTCACAAAAAACCCAAGAGCCAAATTGGGCAAGTGCATGTTTTATGTGAACCACACAAGTTCCCTGTTTGTTTTAATTGTTACTAAAATTTAGTGGTTTTTATACATTTACTCTCTTGGTTTTTGTCTTCTTTTGTTTCTTTGAGATAGAATCTTACTGTGTAGCCGAGGCTAAAACAGAAGTTGTGATCCCTCTGCCAAATGCTGGGATTGTATAAGTGCAAACCATGCCTGGTTTAATATTCATATATATATATATATAATATTGTGTGTGTGTTTGTCTGTCTATGTGTATAGATAATTTTTTTTTGCCCAGTTTCCCAGGTAAACATGGGATCTGGCAAGACAGGACATATGACTACACTCAGGGAGAGCCAAGCAGTAGATGCTTCTAGCTTTCTTCACACTTGTTAGCTGAGCACAGTTTTAGTCCACCTTAGTCATCTTTGTTACCTTCCTGACCTCTGTAAGCACCTGGACCTGCACCTTTCCTCATTTGTTTAATAAAAATGAGATCAGGACATTCCATCATACTGGTGGCTGATACAAAAATAAAAATCAGAAATAGTGACTTTAATTAATAAGAAATAAGCAAGAAACAAGAAATGTAGCCAACCAATTCTGAATGAACTACAAAGGTAAACAAAATTATAAGGAAGGACTCTTGAAGAAAAGATTCTAATAAACTCTGTAGAGATCGCTTGAACAGGATTCAAAAGGTACTAACCACAGAGGAAAACCTTGACAAAGTGAACTATGGAAAGGTCAGGCTGACCTTGAAATGCTCAGAGTACAGATCTGACTTGTTTTCTGACCTGGAGTTTCTGAAGAATTGGACAATGGGGCAGATGCTTCAGCTAAGGCAGCTAACGTAGCTAATACTGACGTAGAGGAGTTTCCAAACTGAACAGCAGATACTCCTGTTTCATCTAGGAGAAAAGAAAAACAGAATTCAGATTGTAGGGAGCTTAACTCAGTGTATCCTGCTCATCTTCTATTTCTCACTTGAATCTTAACTGACACTAGATAGTATCAGTTTGGGAAAGGTAATACTGTCATGACTGTGAAAGACTGCCTTTCTTAGATTGGTCTCAGAAAAATGGTTTTGTTAGTAACTAATTGCCCAAGAGAGTAGGCGTTGTATTTCCCCTCTTCTCCAACAGTCCTGTCTTAAACTGATGCGTACCTACCAATGCTCAACACCCTACCAGCTGTCCTACAGGCATCGCAATACCTGTTGCCTTGGATGGATTTTCTGAAGATACTAGACCTGTTAGGTTCACCACCCCTCCAGGTCCAATGATGAACTGGGGTGTGGCAGCGTGGATTGTCACAGTGTCAGGACTCTCCGGGTTGGTGTTGATTTGGTTCTGCATAGCAATCTGGGGAACAAATTATCATAGTATTTTCAGAATTACAGGCAGTACATCTGGGACAGGTTCTCAATGTAGTATATAAATACACATATAAAGAAAGTATGCAATGAAGATAGTTTATTTTTCTGTAGAATTATTTAAATTATTTCTACCACATTAGGTAATATATAAGATGACATATGAAAGTATGGTCTTCCCATTTAATTGTTCTTAATCTTTAAATCTCAACCCTTAAATTGTATTCCTAGACATAAAAAAATTAGAGAATCAAGGTAAAACTCATTGCTTCCCGGCACATAACACATCTTACAAGAATGTTCAATGAAGTCAGGTAATCTTAGAGAGATCTTCTGAGAATGGGACAAGAAGACAGGTGAGAAGTAATTCTGGTTACCAGAAAAGCCAAACATAACATATGTCTACAGATAGGTGTTTGTTTAGTTTTTATAGACGGTGAAAAAAGAAAGAAACCAGCAAAATAGACACTATAACTTCTATCACAGAACCTTGGCAAAGTTTTGCCACTTTTAGTCAGACTTGTCTGTCTTGGTATCTACTGTTTTGACATTGAAAGTGTCAGCCATATTCAAGGTGCTGAGGGAAGAGACAGACAGGATCAGGAGGAGGGGGTTACCTAGGGAAATTCTCAAAAGCTGCACCACTAGAAAGGAATCATCTCAAAAGGAATTGAAACCAAACTATCAGATCGCCTCGGTCCTTAAACCCGACTAAAGCAAATCTTTTCATTCCTGGGCATCTAACCCAAACAAATGAAAATCCTGCCTAATTAAAAGACACCATTTCGCCGGATCCCAATTTACATGTTTACATTATCAATGCTAGACAAAGTAGACTTAAAATGAAGAGGGGCTCAGGGTGATTCCGCAGCTAAAGGCACAAGCCACAGAAGCTTGAAGACCTTAGTTCAGTCCCCAGAACCCACATAAAGATGAAGAGAGCAGAGACTCAACAAAGTTACCCTCTGGCCATGCACTGCACAGCCCACCTCACACATCATGCACACAACAAGGCACATAATAAATTTTAATTGTTTTAAACAAACAACAAGAATTTAAAAAACAAACTACAGCACTCATTCAAGGGATATTAGTTACTAAATCTTTATGAAGTAGTTTACAATTGTTTTGATAAAACATGATATTCAAATATGCAACAAAATAACTTAAATGTTTAGAAAGGGGACTCAGAAACTGAAAACCAGAAGGTTACTGCCTTCTCCAACCTTCCAGAGGATGGACAGTATGAGCAGAGGAAGCCGAGAACAAGGCCATTCAGAGGAACTGAGCCCAACAGGAAAAGCCACAAGACAGAGCATCTGGCTGCAAGGTACCTTTCAAGTTTTCTTAAACTCAAAGCCAAGTTACCTGTAATATCTCTGCTAAATCTTCATTTCCATTGTCTATTGAAATATCAAACGCAGTTTTACAAAATTTACTCTGCGTGTGTACATCAGCACCATATTTGATTAAAAGTTCCACCACCTCTTGATGGTTGTGTTCTGTTGCCCAATGCAGAGCTGTCATCTTTAACATATCCTTTGCATTGACGTCAGCACCATGCTAAAAAATATTTCAAAATCAGTAATATTCAAGATATGAAATATAAAGAATTGCTGATATGAAAATAACAGCCACAATGCTTTCAAGCAAGAAAAAGCACCATTAATTTTTTGTGGGGTGGAATGTTTTAAACATATGTTCAGTAGTCATTAGTTATCTGTCACTATCATTTTTCTACCATGCTGGCTTTCCTAGCCACCTTCCTTCTAACTTCTTGAAATAAAACATTTGGGTTTTACTCGTTGGTTAGGGGCACAAAGGGCCGAAGTGGTATAACAGGTAAAGGGCAGCACTGAGTTTTTCTCTGGAACTTTTAGTGGTTTATGGTGGGTGACCTGTTATAATTAAATATACTTTTTGCTTCCAAAACAAGAACAACCCCAGGAATCAGAAGGAAGCTGTCTGATATGAGTGGCAAGGTACGGCACACTGCAGCTAGCTGGGATACATATGTGCTTTGCCCTGAATTAAAAAAAATATGAAACAACTCAGCAATGATCTCTACTCTGCTCTCATGTTGAAATGTATTAAATGCACTGTGCTAATTAAAATTAACCTGAGTTTTCACTTTTTAACATGGCTTCAAAAATACCTAGAATTACATGTGATTTCCATCTACATTCCCTTGTGTTTCTTTCAGATGAGTTCACCTACAGGCTGAGATGAAATGGGTCAAGAACAAGAGCTGTCATTCTGCTTCAGAATGCTATCTTTTGACATTTAGATGACTGAAAACAAACATTTTATTACCTGTTAATCTGTTTGCTAGCCTTCCAAGACTAATCTCTCCTGCATAAGGATTCTGATTGTGCTAAGGCAAAGCTGTAGTTCTTCACCCAAAGGACTAACTCTCAGTGGTCAACTCTTAACTGAGGATACACCTATAGAAAGGTTTTTCCCTCCAAAGAAAACTTTAAGGCAATATTGGTTTGACAGACTTACACATATCTATAACAATGTTCTATCAAAGGTAAAACAAAAATGTGCACTTCATGAAATTCATCTCCTTTCTCATCTTATGAAATTTTTTGTAGGGCTTAGATTCAAGACCTAAATCCAAAAGAAAAACATACCTTAAGCAAAACCTCTACTATGCTGGCATGGCCCTCAGAAGCTGCCATGTGCAGTGGTGTCCGGTCCACTTTGGTCCTGGCATCCCTACTTACACCGGCTCGGAGAAGTACCTCTGTGGTAGAGTAATGCCCATACTGTGCAGCCAGATGAAGAGGAGAAGTTCCCAGCTGTAACACAGAAACAGACATACACGTGCACAAACAAACAAACTCCAGCTTTTTAGTTGCTTTTAAAATTCCACTATAAACTATTCTATATTTTTAAACAGTGAAGCATATTAAATTGTGTATATACTAATTCAAACATCAAAAGGAATTACTCAACTCAAGCTTATCTTCCTAAGTCCCATACATGTACTCGTGTGGAAAAGTCAGTGATTCCTTTAATTCAAATTCTCTTCTTGCTCTTCTTTCTTCCTCTCCTTAGGTCTCAGGGCTCAAACCTGAGATCCTGCCTCAGCCTCCTAAGTGCTGTGATTATACCATGCTTATTAGCTTTATTACTAACAGAAAAAGAACTGGAGTTTTACTAAAAATTAGAGATAATGGTGCTGGAGAGATGGCACAGCAGTTAAAGCATCTGCTGCTCTTCCAGAGGACCCGAGTTCAATTCCCAGTACTCACACGGCAGCTCACAACTGTCTGTAACCCTAGTTCCAGAGGATCTGACTCCTTCATACATGCAGGTAAAACACCATTGTACATAAAATAATAAACAGAATCATTTTTTAAATTAGAGATAATTTTGACCTGTCAATGAAGAAGAATTTGTATCAGAGGCATATATTTAAATAGCTACAGTGTGGGTTACATTCAATTACATGCATTAAGAAGCCCCCAAAGCCCATAATTCTGATTATCAATGATGTTAAAAAGAGGTATTTCACCAGATCATGAAATTTGCTAGGCTGTCACTGTTAACTTCTGTGGGGTTTTTTGTTGTTGTTGTTGTTTTTTAGTTTGTTTCAATTTATTAATGTTATTTTATGTGCAAGAATATTTTACCTGAATGCAATGTGACACAACCCCTAGAGCTAGGGTTACTAGGTGGTTGTGAGCCACCAAGTGGATGCAAGAAACTGAACCCAGGTCCTCTGCAAGAGCAAAAAGTGTTCTTAACCTCTAAGCCATCTCTTCAGCCCATACCCTCAGTTTTTAAATCACTTTCTGTAAGTCACATTGTTTTGAGACCTTCATGTTCTGGTCTCAATGTTCTCACAGCATGGGTGCTATAAAGGACCCTGAAGTATAGAGAGAGGCCACCAACTTGCCTCAAGTCATACAAGTGGCATAATACAAAGAAAACCTTACAAGTAATTACTTTACTTCAAGAAAAACATAATTTATTTTACTGATACTCTAACAGACGCTCACAGGTCAAAGAAGACTGTTAAATAATCCTTTTTTCATGCCTTGTTGTATTTATATATAATTGGCCTCTTTTCTACTCTCAAATTCTGTATTTAATGAAAGACTTAAACAGTTCATTGAACAACCACTGAGATCCACTTAGAGAGGTACTGAGGTCTACTTTGTATTTCTGTTGTTAGGTCTCATTTGAGACTTTTCCTTTTTGGCTCACAACGACAGAAAAAAAAATACGTACAACACGCATACTTACATACGTAACACGCATACGTACATATGATTTCAAGAATAGTTAAATGTCTGTAATGTCAACACCACAGTCTGGAAGGAAAACCTTTCCAATAATTTTAAATCCTCCCACACGTTGCTCCCTGATAAAAAGCCCTTTCTTTAGTCTCTCAGGCAAATGCTACTCAAAAAAAAAAAAAAAAAAAAAAAAAGAATCGGTTTTGGTGTGCATCGTGTGAGTTCTGGGCCCAAACCAAGTATTGCTTTGTTTTACCTTCTATCGATTATAAATCCTTAAATGGTATAGTTAGGTTCCTCCTGTGTTAAGCTTTACCCTACCAGATGTTCTTCTGACTTGTTTATTGCTTAATGTTATGTTTACAATATTATGTATTCATGTTAATGGGCAAAATGTAGCATACTAAATTTCTCTACAATAATCCAATCCAGAGAAGCCATAACTAATTCGACTAATCAACTGATGAGCACTATTTTGTTCCCAGCTTTATTATAAACAATTGCGATACATAGGGTCTTCTGGTAACTCAAGCACAGAAACAAGATCTTCTTGTACATTCTAGTTCAACTGCTACAAATGGCATACACATGTTAAAATTTAATAAGCACTGTCAAAATGTTCTCCAAAATGGCTACCTCAATTCACCTTTGCATCATCTCCTTACCAAGGCTGGCACTCCAAACATCACTTTACTAACCTAGTAGATATGCCAAATAGCTTCTGGCTTTACTTTTTGTTTCCTGATGGAGTTGAACACTGTTTCATATTTCCTGGCCATTCAAACTTTATCTTGGTGAAGTATTCTGAGTCACCTTTTCTTTTGTTACTAACCCACAGGAACTCCTTATACTTAGTGTACACAGTATCCACAGCATATTTATGGTCCTTCTGTTTGATGTACAATAGCATCAATGATGATATAGCTACTACTATATTTTCTTTAAAAAGAAATTGTTCTTATTTTATGAGCGTTTTTCTGCCTGTATGTCTATGCACCATTATGTGTGCAGAGCCTGTGAAGACCAGAAGAATCCTCTGGAACTGGAGGTTCATGTGGTTGTAGGCTGCCATGTGAGCTGAGCACCGAGCCCAGGTCCTCTACAAGAGCAACAAGTGTTCTCAACCACTGAGACAGCTCTCCAGCCTCATAGCATGGTTTTCAACAAGCTGATTGTACTATAAATTTGTTGGGCTTCATTGTGGGCATTTATCAATTCTGGAAATGCTAGGTGATCGCTCCTTCAAATGACTTCACCCTGACCTACCCTTGATCTACGGGTCTCCTAACACTGACGAGCGCTGGGTGTCTCCACTTTGTCACTCTGAGTACTGTTCACGGTGTCTCCCACAACTCCTCAGATCACTTGGACTTTCTACTGTGTCTGCGCTACATCCTGGCTTTCCTGCCATCAGTTCTCTAAGTTGTCTGCATTTGTCTCTCACTTGTTACTGACCTGCCATCTAACTCTTCAGGAGGTCTGCTTCTGTGTTAGGCTGTTTCAGCAAGACATCCAAGCTTCTCTGTGTTTGGGTATTAACTACTCTTGACTGCTCACTTTCCTTAAAATTTTATTAGTAGATATGAAGCTGGGATTTTAAAAACGAAGTTTCTCTATGGGACATGTATTTGCTTCGCCAGGGACAGGGGTGAAAGAACCCTAATTAAAAACAAAACAAAAAAACCTTTATATTCACTCCTCAGCCTAGTTTCTCAGCTACATGGGTGTTCGAGAATTCAGGCTTCAAATATACAAAACATGCCTATGATTCCAAATTCTCTCCCATAAACGTTTCTCCCTCTCTCTCAGTTTTGGTTCACACTGAGTCATTTCTTTATAGTGCCTCACACAAGAAGAGGGAAAAGAGAAATCTTTTTTTAAAGATGTAATTGTAAAATCTGAACAAATCCCCTCCCCCAAAAATCTGTACATTTTACCATTTATAAGCATAAATACTAGATAAATTTTTATCTGGGAAGAAGGGAGGAACAGCAGAAGAGAAGGAAGCAGTAAAAGCAAATGTACACCATTAAAATCACTCTTTACCCAGTCTGTAGTAAAAGGAGCTCCATTTGCCATCAAAATGCGAACTTCATCATCTTGACCTGCTCGTGCCGCTTCTAGAAGCTTCTTCCCCAAATCTACCAGGGACATCTAAATGAAGCACACGAACTGACATCAGAATCTCCATTACATACCATCACATGACTCTCCCCTCGTTCACAAGTCCATTCTCAGTTATCCCTTCAAATGTGACTTGGTTAACCCAAAACTATTGATCACCCAGGGCAATTTATATTTGGATTCCTGAAATATATTTCTCTTCTCACTAAGTTTTTGTCTGAGTAAAATTGGTTTAAATTCTTTACAAATGGACAGCTAAAGACAGAAGAGACTAGGTAGCAGGTACAGTGAGTCTAAAAATTAAAACTGGCACCTGTTTTTATTAGAGCCTAACAACATGTTTATAAAAGTAAAAATAAAGTACAAGATATTATCCTGCTGCTGCTCTCAGCTCATCTACCATGACCTCTTCAGAAACAGCACGTGTGCTTAACGTCTGAAGCACATCTTCTGCTCCAGTGCATGAAGTGCACACTCACATCTATCTTCCAGAAAAGAGCACAATTCACACTCCATGCAAGTACCAAACAAGGGGCTGAATGGTCTTAGGAGCAGGACATGTGTCACACTAAGAATCTACAAACAGATTTTATCTTGAATTCAAGAATTCTCTAAAGACTAATAACGTTCCAGGGAAAAGAAAGAAGGTGGCAGGGAAGACATACAGATGTGTCAGAAAAGACCATGACAGGAATCCATAGGTGAGCAAAGACTCGAACTCATTAGAGGTGTTCAGATTCCTGAGATGGTCATTCTGAGGAGTAAAAAAGTTTCCAAATGCAGAAAGCCATTCAGCTAGAAGCTTACTCTGTGATACTGTGTAACATGCTATGGAAAGAACAGGGAAAACTATAAGCCTGTGGAGAAGTGAAGACAGGGAATCTTTAAGATTTAATAATTAAAAAAAAGAAAAAGATGCAGCTGGGATTCAAATTTGTCTAAAAAGGAATACTCACAAGGTATAAAAGTCATAACAGAGAAGTGACAGGTGGATTAGTGTAGCCAAATTTATGTGAACAGCTGTCACTCAAGAAGAGCATATGAGAAACTGACAGAGCTTAGAAAGGTTATTTCTTCCAGGAAGGCATAAAATATACTACCTACTTAGAAGAAATGTTAAGGAGGTACAAAAGAGATAACTACAAGAAAACCTAACTTCTGGAAGGAACTATGCCAAATTATCATGTTTTAGTAGATTCTGTAACGTGAGTCCATCCACACCATACACAAGAAAAACCACAGAAAGCCATGAACACTAGGTGGTGTGCCCAGATGAGATTTCTAAAGAGTTATTCCATGTGCAACGATGAAAGAATTTATAATATACCCTGTGGCAAAGATGGAGAAAAGTAATGTGCAGTTGTAGAGTTTATATGGACTTTTGTTTGTTTGCATGCGACACTTGTGACATTTCTTGACCTTCTGGGATTTTTCCCCCCTCTTTCCCCCCACCTCCCATTTTCTCTGTAACCTAAGGTTGTTAATCTCTGCAAACAGATTAAACTTCCAATCTCTAATAAAGGTCTTTCCTGGAGACCATGCAGGAGCTTAACAGTAACCATCATCATCACTCCAAGACAGAGAAACCTTAAGCAGTAATTTCCTATTAAAGTCTACATAATCTTTAAAAGAAAAGTTGATCCCTCTCCTAGAAGTACAGCAAAATCCAAACTACTAAACACAGATGAGCCAAATTTCCACTTAAATGTCTCTAGAATGAAACTTATCCTTTAAATAAGCATTTTAAGTGTTGTGTACAACATAAACATTTACAGCGTTTATGCAGCCAGGCAAGTCCACTTGGCACACACAGTGCCAGACAGAGCAACATCTAGAGAATCCCTATAGTATGCCAAACTAGAGTTTCACATTTCAAATCAGTCTGCTTTTTCCGTCTCGATTTGTACATATTCTGGACAGTAGGTCCTTCGCCAAATATGAAATTATCAATAACTCCTTTTCAAATCCTGCATTCTTGACTCTCTATCCCATTTTCTTTTAAGTCCCATACTATCTTCTATGCATAGGCAGTTTTTTAAAGTGATTTGTAAAGCATTTAGCATACCTGAAATTTGTACTCTTAACAGACTCCTACACATATATTCCAGTTTATAGTTTTGAAAATTATACACAGACAGAAAAGGGTGGATTAATAAAAGAAATTGTATTTGTAAATTATCTGTATTAGAATATAAAAAATCTCCAGTTACAGACAATCACTAGTCATGGTGTACAACAGATACCTTCTATTTTAGTTGCTAATAAAGGGCTACACTGCAGAGAGAGATATCTAACTCAAAATAAAGGTGGGGACGGAAACATAAACAAGAATCTAACACAATAGTACAAAAACAAAGACATGATGGCCATGTAGTCTTCAAAAAGAAATAACTGTTGGCTGTCACTGATGAATGTAAAACAATTTTAAAGTAATTACTACTGTAGTCAAGAGTTATTAAAACTTATACTTCTAGCTGGGCACAGTGGCGCACAGCTATAATCCCAGCACTCTGGGAGCGCAGAGGCAGGCAGATCTCTGTGAGTTTGAGAGCAGCCTGGTCTACAAAGTGAGTCCAACAGAGCCAAGGCTACACAGAGAAACCCCATCTCAAAAAAAAAAAAAAAGAAAAAAACAAAACAAAAAAGACAACAAAAAAATTTACACTTTTACACTGCTCTATTATGCATGCCAACATCAGCAAAAGTAAACAGCTTTAAATTAATTTAGCAAATTAAAAATTTTAAGAATGTAAAAAACCCACTGGTGAAATTATTACCCTTCTATGAACCCATTTTAAAGGGAAAATATAGATAAGTTATAATGGAAACAACCTAAAGGAAGAAAAGTAGTTCAATTAGAGAACCAAACACCACAGGAGGCAACCATTTAATTAGCTTGAAGCTATATAACATATAGTTTATGTGATACTAAGCCAATAAGCATAGTTTGAATATCTGCATAAAAAACAAAATATAATCAGGTATGGTAACACACAAAATTTCAGCAAGCTGAAGTAGATAAAAAGATCATAAGTTCAAGACTAGCTGGACTTTACAGCCTGCCTTGGGATATATATGTATCATACTACTGGGTCACTTGTCAATATTTCAATACTATATATATATATATATATATATATATATATATATATATATATATATTATAGTGTGCATGTGTCTTAAATGTGAATATTTAACTGCACAGTAGATATGTATATAGTTATTATATATATATATATATATATATATATATATACACACACACACACACACACACATTACTAAAAGCATTAACAAGTAATCCAATAGTATAATTACGGGGAAATTTCCCATTTTATAGTTTCTATAATATTGCTATTTTGCTACCTAACTTAAAAAATTAAGGAACAAATTACAATGTACAGCTGTTAAATAAGGAAATGAAATACTGAGGAAAGTCTTACATGCCTGCCTTACTAAACAGGAGGAGTGGAGGAAAACAAAGGATACGGAAGAGCAAAGCTGATGACCTTACTTAGAGGCATTACCTTACAGCATTTGAGTAAATATACTCCCATAACCGGGCCCCCCATGTTTCAATTATTCAAAACCTATTATATTTAAGACTGGTACTGAAGCTATTGTAATTTTTTTTTAACCATAAGCAACGTTAACAGATTCATGTCACTAGCCTAAGAAATCAGTGGGTCTCAAAAGTAGCAACAGTGTCCCCTAGAGGCCCTTCTTGTATGTAGGGAAGCACTGGAAAGATTGAATATGGGAAAGGCTCTAGCTAGCATTTAATTAACGGTCCTGCCAGGAATACTAGAAGTCTCACAATGGGGACACTCAAATGGCAAAGAACTGTCACATGTTCTGGTCCTCTGCTAGAACAGTTTATACATACTTTTAACCGCTGAGCGATCTCTCAAACTATGATTTTCATTTCAACTTAACAGAAAGAATTAAATACTTTTAAAGGATCTAATGGGAAGAAAATACATGAGACAACATCAAAATCAAAGATGCTCATTTTCTTGTCCAGATAAAAAAAGAAAAATTTAAATAATGAAACTATCAAAACGTAGCACTTTTTATGCTCACCTAAAAACAGAGTGGAATAATTCTGACTCAGGGAAATTCAGTTGCAGCCAGACAATGAAAATGACCAAGACTAGGTGGCTCAGAGGCTAATGAACTACTGTGAATCATGAGGGCCACATGAACACCAGGTGGAGATAAGGCTGGCCGAATTCAGAGTGCTCTGAGTTCAGTGGAAGACCCTGCCTTCAATAAATAAAGTGGAGAGCAACTGAAGACTCAGTTTCAACCTCTGGCCTTCACATTCACACATGCACGGGCACACACACACACACACACACACACACACACACACACACACACACGTGCCCATGTCCATGTAAATGCACGTACACACATGTATACCACACACACATACAAATGCTGGGTCAAGTCTTCAGTTCATTCAGACTGATTATCTACGTTAAATCCTAAAAAAAAATAAAAAATTAAAAAATAAAATAAAATAAATTAAATTAAAATACATGGCTTATCATTTCTTTTTCTCCAACTGAAGAAAAGTCAGTAAATTGACTGCTAATATACCCAGAACCTATTGTGCCTGGGATGATACTCCACTTAGTTTACATTCCCTTTCCCTTCGAGAATACCCATTACAATGAATACAAGGTCCACCCACTCTACTGATGGAAGTACCAAAGCAGAGGCTGAGACCCATAGCCAAACTTTGGGCAGAGCACAGGGAATCTTATGAAAGAAGGGGCAGATAGAAAGACCTGGAGGGGACAGGAGCTCCAAAAGGAGAGCAACAGAACCATCAAAACTGAGCCCTGGAGCCCCTTAAGAGAATGATACCCCAACCAAAGACAATGCATGGAGAGGACCTAAAACCTCAGCTCAGATGTATCCCATAGACTTAGTCTGTAACTGGGTTCCCTAGTAAGGGAAGCAGGGACTTTCTCTGGCATGAACTCAGAGGCAGGCTCTCTGATCACCTTCCCCGGGGAGGGTGCAGCCTTGCCAGTCCA